ACCTGTGTGAGACACTGGATTTAATCCTCAGCACCACGTAAAAGTAAATAAATTTAAAAAAAAAATTATTGTGTCCACCTACAACTAAAAAAAAACAATTAAAATAATAAATAAATGTTGCAAGGGACATCCCCACACACTTGTCCAATTATACACTTCGGATAAGAATTCCTGCTGGTGGAATTGCTGAGTCAGGGATTCCCTTGAGAGGGTTTTCAACAGAGCATTAAGAGAAAAACCGTATCAGAGATGTTGAATTCTGTCTTATAAAAGTTTCTCTCTCCCCATGAACTTTTCTTGGATTTCATGAAATTATACAATGCTTCAGAAAGTTAGGGGCTGTCCTTTCCAAAGGAAACCAGCTCCTTCCTAACCCCCCTCCTCAGCCTTCTCTGGAGACATATACTTACTTCCCATGCCATAAAATAAAACTGGTATACAAAGAAAGCAGAATTACACAGAATTACATAGTTAATAACTACTGAATTACTTGTTCGACAGGAAAAAATCTAAGTTTGCCTGGTGCTGGGTCCCCAATCAATGGTGGACACCAAAAACATAAACAAATGAAATTTTTTTGAGTTGGGCTCAGTGGCCCACACTTGTAATCCCAGCAACTTGGGAGGCTGAGGTAGGAGGATTGCAAGGTGAAGACCAGCCTCAGCAACTTAGATTCTATCTCAAAATAAAAAAGAAAGTGGGCTAGGGACATAGCACAGTGGTAGAATGTCTCTGGATTCTATCCCCTGTATAGGAAGAAAGAAAAAAAAAGAAAGAAAGAAAAGAATTTTTGTTGTGGAAATATTGTTCTTATGGACAGAAGGACAATCCAATGAGCTTTCTAAAGAGATAAAGGGCTAGAAAGGATGTGTGAATCATCCGTCGTTTTCCTTGGAGATGGAAAACTAAGGCCCAGAAAGACTCGGGATCAATATCTCAATAATCACTAAATGAACCCCAGAACTGGCTCATACAGTGGTTCAACTAATTCAGAGCAGGGCTTAATTATAGTCCAAATATCAGATATTTAGTACAACTCTTTCATTTTGTTTTTTTCCTGAAGTACTAGCATGAAACCCAGGGACCTCATGCGTGCCAGACAGGAGTTTTACCACTGAGCTACATCCCCAGCCCTTTTTATTTTATTTTGAGAGACTGTCTCCCTAAATTGCCCAAGCTGACCCTGAACTTGTGATCCTCCTGCCTCAGCCTCCTGAATGGCTCTTCCAGGCATGTACCACCACACCCAGACAACTAGTACAATTCTTTTTTTTTCCCCCCCTGTGGTACCAGGGATTGAACTCAGAAGCACTTAATTACTGAGCCAAATCTCCAGCCCCCCAATTTTTTAAAAACTTAAAAAAAAAATAGTTGTAGATGGACACAACATCTTTATTTTATTTATTTAAGTGGTGCTGAGGATTGAACCCAATGCCTCACACATGCAAGGCAGGCACTCTACCACTGAGCCACAACCCCAGTCTCCCAGCCTTTTTTTTTTTTTGTATTTTATTTGGAGACAAGGTCTCACTGAGTTGCTTAGGGCCTCGCTAAGTTGCTGAGGCTGGCTTTGATCTCCCAATCCTCCTGCCTCAGCCTCCTGAGCCATGGGATTACCGGTGTGCACCACCATGCCCTGCTAAATCTCCTATTTTCTGTGTTTAAAATTGGAAATTAGATCACTGGGATGGTCATGCCATGTTGGTAGCTTATTTCTTTCTTTTTTCTTTTTTTTTTTTTTACTAGGGATTGAAACTAGAGGCATTTAATCACTGAGCTACATCCCCAGACCTCTTTTCTTTTTTATCTTGGGACCAGATCTCACTAGGTTGGTTAGGGTCTTGATAAATTGCTGAGGCTAGCTTCCAATTTGCAATCCTCCTGCCTCAGCCTCAAATCATTGGAATTACAGGAATGCACCACCACACCCAGTTCATGGTGGGAATATTTACACCGTAGAAATTGGCAAACAGAATAAAGCAGGCTTCCTCTACCTGACCCTTTTGAGAGCCAGGTGTTAAACATTTACTGTTACAATCTAGCTATGAAAACACTGAGCAGGTGACCTCAGTTTGCTATCTTCAAAGCATTATAACTTTCCATGTTGCACCATGCTATACGCTCTCAAATCCATCATAGCCCATTTCTTATTAATCAATGAACCAGCAAATATTTTCCTGAATGCTTGCTCTGTGCCCAGTCCCTGCCTAACCACATATGATAGTTCATTTGATTTTTATAATATCACTGTGATACAGTTACTATAATTTCCATCTTACAATGGAGGGAACTGAGACTTATATAAATGAGTTTTTAACTACAGACTATTGCCCATCTTAAGTTGGTTTCCCCAGAAGTAGAAACTGATACAAAGATTCAAGTGCAAGTGCAAAGTGGGTAGAGAAGTGAGCCAGGAAGGGGAAGATAGCCAATGAAGGGAACAAGTTACCACTAAAAGCAATTCAGTCCTTCTAGGAAACTTTAGAGATAGCATAGACCATGTCCCAAAGTAATCCCAGGAGGTGAGGGAGCTGGAGTGTTTATACACCTTCTCCCCTCAGCCACTGGTTGAGGCCTAGGGAACATAAGCAGGACACTGACAGTATCTATTATATTACCCCAGATCTTGCAGCTAGAAAATGTTAGAATGCAAGTCAAGTTCCAAATTCAATTTTCATTCGCACTTATAGAAATGAGCAGTTACCAAACATAACTGAGTGCCGGCTCCATGTAAAACACCACGTTGATGAAATTAACCTACTTAACCAAATTATTTTGGGTTGGTATATCCAAAGAAAACACAAGTTATCTTTTTATCAATTTTCATCAACAGAAGAGGGGGGAAAAATGTGCTTGTAAGTCATTGCCTTCTCACTGGAATTAGCCAAATGCCCTTCCAGGTCTCCTTCTTCTGTGAGAGATTTCCCTCTGATTCAGCCACAGATGCCTTGGGCAGAAGTTCCAGAGCCTCAAACTATCATCCCAAATGACTGATTACAGGCCTCAGAGTCTGCCATCCCAGGGATGATGGAAAATGACCCACTGGCGGCTCAGCCAGTTGAGTCTAAGGATGTCCTTGTTTATTACGCCTCCTGCCCCATCCACTAACCCCCACTGTCCCAAGGCCACATCCTCCATGGGAACCCACAAGCAGGCAAAATAAATGAAACCAACAATCACAGGTCTGTGGGAGTTTACCCCAACTTAAGGACTTTAAAAAAAAAATTCTTCTGGAAGGAAGGGAGGTGTTTAAACAGATAGTGTCTCACTGGCATAAATAAATGGACAATATTGTAAAAAGTGATAGGAGGGATGGGAGGTGGTAGGAGGAACTGCTTCTCTAGCTTTATAAACTCAGCTGAAGCAGCTCTTTGCATCCATGACTTGAAGACAGAGACTGGACATCTTGTTCCATTTCAAGCACACTGCTGAGATCTGCCCAGTTTTTCACTGGGGGGAGAAAGGAGGTTGGATCAAGCCCTGGAATTGTTCTTTGTATCCTCAGTCTACCTCCCAGCCTCTCTTTAGGGACTCTCTCCAGGTAACCTGTCCCTGCCTCCACACCCCCAACCTCCAGGCAGTGAAGACATTTCCTGCCAAGTATCCCAACAAAGCCTGAGAGCTATAATCTGGCCCAGGTTCTTTTGTACTTTGATGACAGGTCCCTTTCTGGCAAGCCTCACAGTCCAGCTCTTTGAGTCAGCAGAGGTGCCAAGACGCTCAGCTTTGGGCACCTCTCCAGCCAACTTTCTCAGCCATTCCTAAGCGGCTCACACACAGAATTGCAGACAAGAAGCCTGTCTCTGTGACACCAGGAAATAGATCAAGAAATAAAAGCTAAACCAGTAGGACATGTACCAGATGGCCCAGGGCATCTGAGAATGAGGAAAAGAGGTAAGAGATTGAAAATAATCATCTACCATACCCGACGCTGGCTGCAGTGTCATACAAACTGGGAAAAAGACCTGAACCTCCTAAGAGAAGTCACCCAGAGATGCAGAGAGATGGACTGTAGAGCCCCAGGAGCAGAGGAAGCCTCAGGAAGGTAGGAATGATGCTGGCTGGACAGACACCCTCACAGGGACAGCACATGCTCTAGCTCACCTGGCCAGCTGCACAGAGTGCGCCCCTACCTTCCCTGGGAAGGAAGCTTCAGTGGGGGGACTTCAGAACCTCTGACCTCCTCTCAGCCTGGATCCTTGAAATTGCCCCTCATCATTCTAATGGGATTTCAACAGCTTAGAGAGTACTGAAGTGCTTGGGATAGGTCTAGGCTATACCCCAAGTTTTATCCTGTATCTCCCCAATACATCACTTTGTTGTCCCATTTGTTAAAAAAGGAGTGGTCCTGCCTTCCAGGCTCCCCAGCACAGGAGATCCCAAACCATACCAGTCCACACCCCCAGGTACCCAGGCAGGCTACATGCTCTGCCTCCATCTTCTCCCAGGGCAAAAACTACCCCTCTGTCCAAAACCCCACCTCTGCAAGTTCAGACACCATTGCATGCCCTCTTCCATGCCCTCCCTCTTCAGAGGGAGATTCCAGATGTCAGCCTGCCCTGTCCAAAGGAGAAAATAGAGCCCACATTCATGGCCCTAAGGCCAGGGAGGCTCTCTGATCCCAAACAGGCACCACTTAAGAGGACAAGACCTCAGTTCCCAGGATACAAGTTAAAAACAAAACAAAAACAAACAACAACAGCACAAAACTGTTCTTAAACCCAATATATGTTTGCCTTGAGAGGTTTCTTTAACCCTCAGACAACCTGAAGATAGAGTACCCAGTAAGTAAATGTGGGTTGAAAAGTAAGATGGATCAATCTCAGATCCCCATCCACAGGTTCCTGATAGAAGAACTTGGACTCCCATTTGTTTAAATAGAATTGTGGTTACCAATTCTTTCCTCCAATTGTGTCAGAATTAACTGGCAGGAATAAAACAAATCGCTATTTGTGGCTCCATTCCTTCACACATTCATTCATCACATGGAAGGTACTTACTATAACCCTGGCCGGCTGCAGACTAGGACTCTGCTCTCCGGAGGAATGCGTTCTAGGCCCCTGGGTTCCAGACACCTGAGAATAAAGTGTATGCAGCCCTAAGAAGCCTGGCTCTCAGCTTCTTAGTTATGGAGGTGCAGAGGTGCTAATGGACAGTGCAGTGGCCACACATCATCCAGAAAAACAGAACTTTTGGTCTCCCTTTCAGGCCACCTCCACTCTCCGCTGTCCCCAGGGCTCTCTGGCTTAGGGCTGAGTGCACTATGAAATGCAGAAGTTGCCTAGGCCGCCCAAAGCACCTGCTCAGAAAGGACTCAAAGCTGGGTCCCCAGTGACCTCAGGCACTAGCTACCCAGGCGGCCGGGAGACCTCAAAGAGGAAGTACACCGAGGACCACAGGCCTCTGAGCTCCCAGCAGCAGTTCGGAAGGTAGAGAGAGCCATGTGCGCGCCGAGTCCCTGCGCTGGCAACCGGGATTAGCCTTTGGGGAACTTGTCCAGCTTCCAGGAAGGAAAGGGAGGATTGGGGTCGGACACTCCCCAGGGCTGCTGGGCCTGCCCAGCTCTGCACCTGCTACCCGGCTCAACTTCACCAGGGAGTCCCAGAGACCCTGAGTCTGGATTGGGGGCACTTTCCTGCCACCACCCTTGGCGGAGAGAAGGATGGACCCCCCCAAGGGTTAAAGAGGAGGAACTCAAAGCCACAACTTTTTGGGGGCGGAAGGCGGGTGGGCTGGGGCTGGGCGCCTACCAGGCCCTCGGGGCAGTTCTCATGCCTGGGCTACCCCGGTGGCTGGGGGAGAAGGAAGGAGACCGGGGCAGGAGAAGACTGAGGGGCTGACCCGGACGGGACAGGGGCCACGGAGGAAAAACTTTGAGCGAGGTGGGGCGACGCGGGAAGGGGACCGCCCGGTGCCCCGCACCTTGCGCCCAGCGTCGGGGGCCCGTGCCTAGCTCGCAGCGCCCGGTGCCAGGTGCCTTGCCTGCGTCCCGGGCCAGCTTCATCCCGCGCGTGCCGCTGGGACCGAAGAGTTGCAAAGTGGGGGCGCCGCTGCCGGGGGCGGGGATGCTCCAGCCGCGCCTCTGCCAGCGACCGGCGGCCCAGCTCAGTCGGGCCGGGCGGCGGCGGAGGTGGCAGCGCTATGGGGGGTCGGCCGCCCCGCCCTCCTTGCTCCCCTCCGCCCCTCCTCGCCCTCCATCCCGTCCCTCTGCCTTTATCAGCCCTACCGGGTCTGACCGTCCTCTCTCCTCCTCTTTCTCTCGCTCTCCATCACTCCCCCACCCTCTTCGCTCGCCTTTCTTCCTTCCCTCCTCTCCCGCCCTCCCTTCCCCTCTCTCCCCTCCAGAGGGCGGAGCTTCTCCCCTCCCTCTTAGACAATGCTGTGACTGCTCGTCCCCTTCCCCGCCCGCCAAGTCGGGGCTCGGGCTGCCAGGGCTTCTTCCGGGCTGGGGGAGGTGAGAAGGGGGTAAGCGTGCGGGGGTGGGAAGATGAGCTAGCTACTCTCACCCCATCGCCGCTGCCGTCTCCAAGTGGGATGGAGACTTGGCTCCGGCTCCTCGGCTCTCCTGGCGCGGTGACAGCCACTCCCAGGGAGTAGTCACACTGCTCTACCGAGCCCACCTAGAACGACCGGATTCCCCACGCAGGAGATGTGCCGTTTTACTTGGTTTGGTTTTTATCAACATCATCCCAGCTTATTCCCCCAAAGGGTTGGAGTTGGGCAGAGGCTAAACACGCCCTGTCGACTTGGCGGGCTGGCAGACGTGACAGCAATGTGAAGGAGGACAAGTTTCTTTGTCCATCTTTCACCTCCCCCTCTTCTCCATCCCTGGACCTCCTGGGCACTTCCAGTGTCCAGGAGGTCCTCAAACACCCCAGCTACGGGTTCTCTACCCTCCTTTCAGATTTCTCCCCCCACCCCACCCCGCATACATACCTCCACCCTGCAGAAAGGTCCCAGCCAAAGGGGAAGGGAAGCATAACGATTAATGGTGGCCAGTTCCCCAATTTACAGCCCGATCAGCTCATCCTGCTTGGAAGCCAAACATTCCTTATTGAATTCATTGTTTGGATCTTGGAATGTGTCTCCCTTAGAAACAATGTTATAAATGGTGATCTGCTTCCCAGGCCAGCTACAAAAGTCTGTTGAACCCAAAATGCAGTTGCAGGGCCTTACTGAGAACTGTCAGCTACCCTGAACAAGGAGGCCACTGATCAGCTTTTTCTATTGAAAATAAATAAATAAATATGCTTTTTTTTCTCCTTGAGCTAGAAAACATAAACCTTTCCCATTAATTTTCCCCCTTTGAAGCCACTATTCTGTTAAGCTTCTTTCTTTTGTAAGTAACAGGAGGACTCTCAGGGAATGTATTCTGAGGACATGGGAGTTTCTCAGGTCAGAAACTGTTGGGAGAGCTCAGTAAGAGGAGATCCAGAGCTGGAAGGCTTCCAGTAACCCAGGATAAACCTTCTCCAAGGGGTTCTTTCTTCTTTTCTAGAATGATCTTCCCTGCTCTGCAGACACATGACCAAAAGTAGTCATGACTTCTATAACTAGGGCTTGGTGCAGGGCCACTCAAGAAAGCAGCCACATGCTGCTAGAATCCCTTAGTCTCTCAGGAAAGTAGCTCACAGGCTTACCTTGAATCAGGTGACCATCCTATGACCCATCCCCTGAGCCACGTGTAGGCTCCCTTGTCCCATGTCCCATCAAGAACACTGACTCTAGAATTTGTTTAAAACCAAACCCATTTCTCTCTATAATTATATTCTCCATCATGATAAATACATTGATTGATTGATTGATTCAAGACACTATTCATCAGTTTCCCTTAGAAGCCACAAGAGAAAAAGGAAAAGTCTCTCTTCCTTCAAGAAAAGATAGGGACAATACATCTGGGATAAAGATATTTTGAAAATATTGCATTAATATTGCATTAAAGTCCACCCTTGAGGGCTGGGGATGTGGCTTAGTAGAAAAACACTTACCTAGCATGTGCGATGCTCTGGCTTCCATTCCCAGTACTAGAAAAAAAAAAAAAAACAACCATGTTTTCTTATAGGTTTCCACCCTCAAGAACTGGACAGAAAGGCTCATGGTATAGAGAAGCAGCAGGTAAGCCTTCCAGAAGGAGTTCTTCAATAAAAATAAAGACAAGTGCTGGGGGTGTAGCTCCGTGATAGAGCATTTACCTAACATGCATGAAGTGCTGGGTTTGATCTCCAAAAACGCAAAAAAAAAAAAAAAAACAATGAAAGACACACTAGAGCCACAGATGTGATTTTAAACTTTATTATTATTTTTTTTTGTAGTAGAGATCGAACTCAGGGGCACTTAACCACTGAACCACATCCCCAGCTCTATTTTGTATTTTATTTAGAGAGACGGTCTCACTGAGTTGTTTGGGCATCGCTAAATTGCTGAGGCTGACTTTGAACTCTCAATCCTGCTCCTGGGCTGCTGGGATGCCACTGCATCCAGCTTGATTTTAAACTTTCTAGTAATCACATTTAAAATGGTAAAAAAAAAAAATACAGGTGAAATTAATTTTAATAATATTTTTATTTAACCCAGTTTATCCAAAGTATTGTTTCAACATGTAATCTATGTACAGGAATTATTCATGAGATATTTTACATTCTGTTTTCATACTTGAGCAGAAATCAAGTATATATTTATACTTCTCCACACCTCAATTCAGATTTAAATTTTCATTAAAAAATATTCAAATTGTAGTTATAGTTGTAGATTCATATAACCAAGTTGTCCCAAACATACTTAAATGGTTCCCAGCAATTGAATTGAGTATCAGTGTATAAATTTTAATTTTAGATATGAATAAATAAGCTTAGAAGTCAGTTCTCAGGGGCACTGGCCATATTCCAAGTACTCAATAGCCACATGTGACAGGTGGCTTCCACAGGGACAGCACAGGCCCAGAGAGCAAGAATTCACTGACACATCTACAAAAGAAGATCCAGTCAGTCATAGAGAAATAAGGAAGTCTAAGCAAATCTGTTCCTGGGACCCCACCATACCTGGATATGCCAGGCACACAGCAGGGTGGGCTGGCTGGAGATTTGTTTGCTTCGGAGGGTTAAAAATAATAATAATAATAATAATATTAATATGGGGCTGGGGATGTGGCTCAAGCAGTAGCGCGCTCACCTGGCATGTGTGGGGCACTGGGTTTACTCCTCAGCCAGCACCACATAAAAATAAAATAAAGATGTTGTATCCACCAAAAACTGAAAAATAAATATTAAAAATTCTCTCTCTCTTTAAAATCATCATCATCGTCATCATCTTTATCCCTTTCTGGAAGGTCACCTCACTCTAGGGGAAGTAGAAAACAAGTTTGGCCCAGTAGAGCCATGAAAGAGAGTTGAAGTGGCCCCAAACTGGACCCATAGAAGGGGACTCCTGGGAAGACCGAATGGGGCTTTGAGTTACAAAGGACTGTTTTGTGCTCCTCGGGGATACTGAGAGGCTCAAGCAATCATGCTTTGGATGGCCCTGTGAGAAACACTTAAGGGACCAACATGCCACCATTCAGCTTCTCTGTTTCAAGGGCATGGTAGGTCAACAAGAATACCCAGAAAGGGGTAGAATGATTGCCCAAATGGTCACAATGACTCCCCTCCCAGCCTTCATACTCTTTGCCATGAGACTTTGCAGTTCCTCCAGTTTCTCCACCTGGAATCTGGGTTGACACTGTGACCTGCCAATAGAATATAGCAGATACTGTATTGTGCCTTTCCAAAGCCTGGGCATCAAGCAAGAAGCCCTATAGTCTTCTACTCTCTCTATTGGAACTTTGTCTCTACCATGTTCACAAAGCTTGGGCTAGCCCACTAGAAGATGGGAGACCACACAGTCCAGGGCCAAGTCAGCTGAGTTGTTCCAGCCAAAACCCTAGGTGTGAGGGAGTCCAACCAAAATCAGTAATTCCCTCTCCAGCTGCCTGGATTTGATTGTATCCCCGAAAAGTTCATTCTTTGGAAGCTTAATTCCTCCATGTGGCCGTACTGTGTGGAGGTGGTCAGGTCATGGGAGCTGAGCCCTCATGAATGGATTCAGGCCTTTCTCTGATGACTTAGTTCTTTCTCTCAAACGACCTAATTAGTTACCTTGAGAGTGGCTCGTTATAAAACAAGTTTATCCCTTGTGTTCTGTCTCTTTGTCTCTTTTGAATGCACCTGCTTGCCCTACCATTTTTTACCATAAGTTGAAGCAGCACATGGTCCTCACCAGATGTGGCCAATCAATCTCAGACTTCGCAGCATCCAGAATCATTAGGCAAAAGAAACCTCTTTTCTCTCTCTCTCTCTCTCTCTCTCTCTCTCTCTCTCTCTCTCTCTCTCTCTTTACAAATTACTATCAGGTATTCTGTTATAGCAAACAGAAAATGGAGTAAGACACTAACCCAGAACTGACCACAGACGGCTGAGAGAGCCCATCTTGGTTCAGTCCAAATACCCAATAAAAGCACAAGTAAATAGGTTGCCATTGTAAGCTACTAGAATTTGGGGCGGCTTGTTTTATAGCAATTGCTAACTGCTAAAGAACTTAACAGGTCCTGTGGTCATGGCTGATGTGACTGGGGTATCTAGTGGACACAAGCCTGGAGGCCTGGATTTGTTCATGAGCTTATGAGGTACCTCTGGGAACTCCCCTGTCCTGCCTGCCTGTGCCCCTAAACCATCCAAAGCAGCAGAGAGGTGTTTTCAAATGGCTTAAGTGTGAATGAGATGGTGACATTTAGATTTATAGCTGTTAATATGACTCCACTTTATTTTCTCAAGCTGGAGAGACCCAGGGAAATGTGAGTAACAAAGATGTTTGTCAGTAACCTCTACAAGTTTTTCTTTCATGGGAAAGAACTATCTTAATTAAAAGAGTCCACTTTATCTACCATGAAGAAATTTCCATGGTATCTAAAATATTTATATGGGACAGTGTCTGGATCCATCCTTGGAGATGGCAAGGGTATACTTAAAGCTTTTGTAAAGCCCCAGACAGAAACTTACCAGATTTTCCCTCCTGCAGTGAAAACACAAACAAAGGGTGATAAGAAGGAAAAAGGAAAGCAAAGAATCCAAAGCACATGATCTAGACTTACTCCTTGCCACCAAATATGTCTCTTTTCACAAAAAGTATTTGCTAGTGAGCCTCAAGGCCAAACTCTTTCTCTCTCTCTCTCAGAAGCCATCCTGCTAAACAAATTGCTTATGAATAGTCTGGTAACTGAACTGTTTCAAATTAGATGGAATACTTCATAGAGTTTTCCTAGGAATCTATTCAAGTTTCCTTTACC